AGGTGATATGTGTGGAACTGCTCCCTGTACAGGTGCAGAGCAGGTACCGAGGGGAGGAGAAAAGCCACCCTGTGTGTACTTACTCAAAGCTCTTTCAATAGCCCTCCCAGGATAGCTCTTGGCAAGGCAGCTACCACGTCTCTGGCAGGCTGGAGGGAATCTGAGTGTGAGAAAGTCAGTCAAGCGAAGGAAAGGCGGGGGTAAAAAAGCTTCAAGTCCTCCGGCAAAATACCTTTTCTCTTCTTCTTTTGCTCTCTTCTTTCTGTAGCTTTAAACCCAACCCACAAACCATTCTGAGACCTAGAGGACAAAGGGGAGTTTCACTAGAGATGCAGTTATTTGTTTTATGGGTTGAAAGCAAACAGGTGATGCAATAAGACAGAGAAATCACCCTTCCTGGGGTGGGGGTGGGGAGGAAGTATGGGTGGAGACAAACACGGGAGCCCCTGGTTGTATTTATTGGGCATGGCATGGTGAGAACAGTTCGATTCATTGTGTTTTGCTGGTGTCACAGTGGAATCAAAGACGTGATCTTCACCAAGGAACAGGGCTCCGTTTTCTCTTTGCTCTTGGACTGAAAAATGAAGGCTGTTTCTCTCTAAGAGCATTCTTCCAAATCCAGATGCGTCTTCCTGAGTTTAGGAGCTGACTGTCCCATTTGAGAAGGGGTGGGCAGAGGACCAACTTGGTCCTATCATCACCTAGGATAAGGGAAAATCATCTCTGAGCACATCTGCAAAAAACTCTTCTTGAACGGTTAGAGTGGAAAGCCAGAGAGCTCCTGGAATTTATTTACATATATATTTTTGGTCCAGCCACAAATGCATAGCTGATTTTTTTGCTACTTGAGCCTCTTCCCCTTATCTAAAAATGTGTGTGTGTGTGAAAGTTGCTTGCCCATTCTAAGCACTCCCAAAGTGGCCATAAATGAGTTGCTGATTAACTATTTGACCCATGTGGCTGCTTTGGGCACTGCAAGAGATCCTAACATAACCATATTCCATTCCCCATGCACCTTTAGGGTGCCAACTCCAGAGTGGGGAACAGAATCAGATGAAAAAATCCCTTAGAATGGACAGGGGGTGGCATACCCCACTGGTTAATGAGGGCCGACCAGCAGACAGCAGTCAATGTCAGAGCTTAGCAGAGGGTCCACCGGTTCTGAAAGATGTGGGGGGGGTAGGGTGGGGTGGGAACCTGGAAAGGGTTAACATGCTTCCCTGGGAAGGGTTTAGTTCCTTGGAAGAATCTGGGTCAGTGTATTTGTGCAGTTTTTAAAAAGTCAGACGCTCAGTAGAAGCATTTTAAGAAGCTTGGAAAGCTTATTGGGGCCATAGCAGAAAGGAGGGTAACTTCATAGGCTCATCACCTTTCACCAAGAGGATTTTAACCACACAGGAAAAACCCATGTTTTCCAAAAGCAACAGACAATTTTCTGTCATCACCACTTTTCCATCTGTTTAAAATAAGAAAGAAAATTCCTTCCCCAATGGCCCAGGTTGCAGGTCAACAAAGGAGGCATTGTTCATCGTTTCTTCAGAACATGATAGGGCACAGCTCACTCTGCAGTGTGAGAAAACATTTTTTAAAAATCTCAAGAGAGTGGCCCAAGGGGCAACACTGAGTAAACCAAGCCCGCAAAGAGGCACATGTTTGGCTGCAGACTTGAGGACTATCCTGGAAGGTGGAAATGAGGCTTGGGTGAATACAGTCAGAGCCACGATTCCTTAGTTAAACTCAGGAACTAAATCGGAGTTCCTGGTGGGAGGTTGGGAACACTGCATTGAAGGCTAAGCAGGTTTGAGTTGAACTCAGGTCCCAAGAGTGTGCAGTCAACGTCCAGAGGAGTTGGATGTAGACGCCTCTGGATGTCGGTCTGCACCTGCCTCACGGGAACCTTCTTTACTAGCCTGAACTGCCTAACTGCCCTTTCTGACTCCAAACCATGCAATCCACTCTCCCACTTTGCCAGCGCTCTCTCTCTAAGGGGAAATCCTGATGCCTCTGCTTTGCTCAAGATTATTTCATGGCTCTCCATTGTCTAAAGATAAGGTCCAAAGTCCTTTAGCAAGACGTTTGAGGAGCTTGTGACACGGCCTCAAGCTGCCTCTTCTAGTCCCTCACATTCCCTCGGCTCCAGACCATCTTTCCTGAATAAAGACCTCAGGTTCCAGAGTCCTAGCCTTTAATGCCATGGGTACCTGCATCCTCTCCAGCCCCATGACTCAGGACATTTGCAATGCCCCCATCCTACCTATGTTTCAGGGCACACAGGCCAATCCCTCCGGGAAATTTTCCAAAGTACCCCAACTTAAAAGTAATTTAATTCTCCTGAAACTCCACAGCATTTTACCTCTATCCAGACATACATCTCTTTTGAACCTAGAACTAGAATCCCTCCAGAGGAATTTACTGGGACATCCGTAGATGTCAGCTGTACACGTTTGCATACGCCTCTAGGCTGTTGGCTTCCAGAGGGCAGTAACGGTCTTATTCACTGCTGTAAACCCAGAAAGGCCAGCAGTACTGTTATCCATACATGTGTGGTTTCATATTTTGTTTCTGTCTTCCTGATCTCTCAGGCCACCACCTAACTCAGAAAAGGAAAAATAAAGCAATGTCTGGTTATCAATCAGAAAATCGGCGTCTGTCCGCCCCGCAGCTCACTGTAAACTTCCTGCAGGCTGCCACTGTATCTCTCATCGTGGAAATCCCAGGGTTGAACACAGTGTCTGACACTGCGCGTGTGTTCCACAATGAAAGAAAGAGGGGGCTTGCCCAAGGTCACCTGGAGTCAGGAATCACTGAATCTCATCCGGGACCAGATCTGGGGAAATCATTTACAACATTATCTCAGTGGGGAGCTCGGAGGCAGGAAGGAATGAAGTGGATGAGAACTGTGCGCCAGACCTCCGGGACGCGGAAAGGGCTGAAGGGGCGGGGGGCCACATCAAACAAGACGCTGGGCTCCCGGGCTGCCCAGAGCCGCGAGCCCAGCTCCCGGGCGGCGGGAAGGGCGCGGGGGAGGGGGTGTGAGGGCACGGGGGCCGGCGACCCGGGCAGCCGGGCGGGAGGCGGCCGGCCGGCCCAGGCAGTGCGCGCCGCCCGCCCGGCTCGGCAAATCCCCCAGGGAGGCCGCCGCCAGAGCCCTGGCGCTCCCGGCCCGGCGCCCGCCACGTGGCACCCGGCGGCGGCGGCGGCGGCTCCTCCCGGCGCGCGGCCCGGCCAGCAGGCAGCACGCAGCCGCCCGCGCCGCCCGCCTCCTCCCGGCCGCCCGCCGGCAGCCTACCGGGCGCAGTGAGGGGGAGCGGCCGGCAGCCCGGGACCCGGGGAAGGGGCGGGCGGCGCGAAGCCGCTTTAACCGCAGTCGCCGAGCGGAGGCAGGAGGCTGACCCGGCCGCTTCCTAAGTGCGGTCAGGCATCTCGTGACCGCGGCGGGCGCCGAGGGCCTCGCGGGGGGAGGGAGAGGGCGGGGGCGAGGAGCAAACACGGAGGCCCCCACCTCGCCCCCAGGCTGCTGCAAGTGAGGTTTCGGCCGAGTGAAAACCCCAAGCCCGAAAGTGAGGGTGGTGAGGGGTGGGTGGAAGAATTCCCCAATCTCCACCCGGGGTGTGCGCTCCCCGCCCGGAAGAGCTGACCTTGGCCTGGGGAGGCGGGGGTGGAGAGGGAGGGTAAGCGCCGGGGCTCGGCTCCCAGCCTGCCGCCCCCTCGGATTCCTGGCCCGGCGGGGCCGGAGGAGGGGGCCCCGGACACACACACACACACACCCCACACGCAGCGCGCGCCAATGAGCCCGGGCCAGGCGCAGGGGGCGGGGTTTTCCCAGGCTCGAGCACAGCAGCTGCTATTTACCTTCTTGGCTTCTCCCGGGGACCAGGAACCGGCCCCCGCTCTCCGCCGCCCGCCGCCGCCCCCCGCCTCCCTGCCCCCGGGGCGCGCGCACACACACTCACTCACACACGCACGCACACACACATCCTCCCGGCCCGGCCGCAGACGCGGCGGCAATAAAACATCCTGGCACGTGCTCCGGCTCCAGGCGCGCCCACGCCGGCCGGCTGATGTCAAACTGCAGCTCGGCTGGTGTAGCTCTTAAAGGGCCCGCGCGCGCCGGGCGCCGAGACCGCCCGCGGGGCGAGGAGGTAGAAGCGGCTTCCTTGCCGGCCACCTCAACGCGCAGCAGAACCTAGAGCCTACAGATGAAAAGGGAAATGGTGGTGAAGGAGGAAGCAAGTCCCGAGGCACTGCCATTAGAGCTCCCCTTGTTCATTTTTTCATTTTTAAATACCACTTCCTTCTACCCAGTTGGAAATTATTCTGATTGTTTCCTGGGGAAGCGCGTGGTCTAAGGCCCCAATTCCAGAAGAGGAATTTCTGAAAGATGGGGCGGGGGTGGGGTGGGGAAGGGATTCAAGGACTACCTCGATCCGAAAAACCTGCATTTGTAAGTTAGAAGGCATTTTTTCCTTTTTCTGCATGCAACAAGGAAAAAAAAATTTTGGCCCTTTTCCTGCATGATCTACTCTCACCCTCCTGAATGTATAAAGTCTGAGCGGGAACTTACTTAGATGCGTCTGTAACTCAACACCTTTACACGCGTTTCTCCCCTACCCCCACCCCCGGCTCTTAACCACTGCTATTATTTTTTTTCTGCCCTTTTATAACTTTAAAAATATATATATGCTTCAAATGAACTTACTACAGTCAAAGCCGCTCTGCTACACATGAGAGATGGCATAAAGAGCAAAGATCCTGGCTCCAGAAGAAATAGACAAGACCAAAACCAAAGCGGAAAAAAGAAAAAAAAAATCACCCCTAAACCAAAGCCCAGAGGGAGAGTAGCAAAGGGTTAAAATCCTTTTGATTGACGTTGTAGCCTCCGGTGCCCTGGGCTCAGGCGCGCGCCATTGGCCGCCAGACCTTGTGCCTGGCGGCCAATGGGGGGGCGCGGTCCACGAGCGGAGCCGCGTGTCTCCTCCTCCCATTGGCTGAAAGTTACTGTGGGAAAGAAAGTTTGGGAAGTTTCACACGAGCCGTTCGCGTGCAGTCCCAGATATATATAGAGGCCGCCAGGGCCTGGGGATCACACAGGATCCGGAGCTGGTGCTGATAACAGCGGAATCCCCCGTCTACCTCTCTCCTTGGTCCTGGAACAGCGCTACTGATCGCCAAGTAGCCACAAAATATTATAATAAACCCTCAGCACTTGCTCAGTAGTTTTGTGAAAGTCTCAAGTAACAGAGACATAAACAAAAAATTATTTTTCGTGAAGAACTCCAAACATAAAATTCTCTAGGGATTAAGAAAAAAAAAAAAAAAAGGAAAATGCCAGCTGATATAATGGAGAAAAATTCCTCGTCCCCGGTGGCTGCTACCCCAGCCAGTGTCAACACGACACCGGATAAACCAAAGACAGCATCTGAGCACAGAAAGGTAAGGGCGGTACCTGTATCTCTCTGCAGCCCCTCAAAATTAAGTAGGGATTGGGAGGCTTCTTTCTGTCTAGAAAGCCCGGGACGAAACGGCAGATCCCATGGGAACTCAGAACTAATTTTTTTTATTTATTTGCAGTCATCAAAGCCTATCATGGAGAAGAGACGAAGAGCAAGAATAAATGAAAGTCTGAGCCAGCTGAAAACACTGATTTTGGATGCTCTTAAGAAAGATGTAAGTAGGAAAATGCTGCTCTTTCTCTTAATTAAAAAACAAACACTTCCTCAGCTACTGAGAGTGACACCCCCCGCCTGCGGGTTCTAGCACTCGTCGGTACTGCGTTCTCCTAGGCGGGAGGGCCCGGCCTTTTTCGCTGCGGTCCCTAGATGTGCATGCGCTCCGTGGCCGGGAGGAGGGACCCCCAGTACTCTGAAGCAGCTGACACGGGGCTCACTTTCCTTCCTTGCCTCCTATGCAGAGCTCGCGGCATTCCAAGCTGGAGAAGGCGGACATTCTGGAAATGACAGTGAAGCACCTCCGGAACCTGCAGCGGGCGCAGATGACGGGTGAGGGCAGCTCGCCGCGCCCCCCTGTGCGGGCGTCCCGCTCGCCTCGCGGTGATTTCTTCCAGACTTCCGCCCGTGGTTGTGAGAGGCATTCAGCTACGTTTTACTGCCTTGGCTCACTCTCGTGTTCCCACGGTCTGGGCTTATTTATAGCCACAACTCCAAGTTGTTACTGTTCCGGAAGGGAGGGAAAGAGGTTGCAGCCGCGAGGGTGGCGGGCGGCGGGTAGGGGCGAAAGGACTTAGGACTGTGGCGGTTTGGAACTGCGTGGAGCCTGGGGGTCAGCTGGGTTAGCACCCCCTCCCGTTGCAGAAGGGGAAATGAGGCCCGAATGATGGATTGGGAGGCATTGTCCAAGGTCACATCCCGCGCGGGGGTGGGGGTGACAGATCTGGGGCTGAGATAGGCTTAAATGCAGCGACAGGGAATCGGGAAGGAGTGGCTCGGCTTTGGCTGCCACGCTTGTGTGGAGAGGTGGCTGGTTTCTCATGCAACCTCCCTGCCGGAGGCAGTTTCACGGGCGCATGGTCAGGGATGAGCGCCACAGGGACCTCCCAGGGCGGAGGCAGTGGCCACGGGGCCAGGGCCGTTCGGTGACCCGTCTGTGTCCTTCTGGCCCGCAGCTGCGCTGAGCACAGACCCGAGCGTGCTGGGAAAGTACCGCGCCGGCTTCAGCGAGTGCATGAACGAGGTGACCCGCTTCCTGTCCACGTGCGAGGGCGTTAATACCGAGGTGCGCACTCGGCTGCTTGGCCACCTGGCCAACTGCATGACCCAGATCAATGCCATGACCTACCCTGGGCAGCCGCACCCCGCCTTGCAGGCGCCGCCGCCGCCCCCACCAGGACCCGGCGGTCCCCAGCACGCGCCATTCGCGCCGCCACCGCCTCTCGTGCCCATCCCCGGGGGCGCGGCGCCCCCTCCCGGCGGCGCACCCTGCAAGCTGGGCAGCCAGGCTGGAGAGGCGGCTAAGGTGTTTGGAGGCTTCCAGGTGGTACCGGCTCCCGATGGCCAGTTTGCCTTCCTCATTCCCAACGGGGCCTTCGCGCACAGCGGCCCTGTCATCCCCGTCTACACCAGCAACAGCGGGACCTCCGTGGGCCCCAACGCAGTGTCGCCTTCCAGCGGCCCCTCGCTTACGGCGGACTCCATGTGGAGGCCGTGGCGGAACTGAGGGGCTCAGGCCACCCCTCCTCCCAAACTCCCCAACCCACCTCTTTTTCCCTCTGGACTCTAAACAGGAACTTGGATACTGGGAGCAAAGGGGACTTTTTTGATTAAGTGGTTACTTTGTGTATTTTTAATTTCTAAAAAGTTACTTTCCGTAGAGAGAGCCGTATTAAGTGACTGACCATGCACTATATTTGTATATATTTTATATGTTCATATTGGATTGCGCCTTTGTATTATAAAAGTACAGATGACATTTCGTTTTTTACACGAGATTTCTTTTTTATGTGATGCCAAAGATGTCTGAAATGCTCTTAAAATATCTTCCTTTGGGGAAGTTTATTTGAGAAAATATAATAAAAGAAAAAAGTAAAGGTTTTTATGTCTTAGAACTGATTCTTCTAGAATATGTAAAAAGGCTCTTGGTGGAATGTGAATTACATGTAATTGGTAATTCAGGAACTGGCTCTTTTGTTATTAAAAGAACATTTTTTAAAATCCATCAAACCTTTCACCAATCCTCCAGGAACTAAAAAGACTAAATTCCATTTACTTTACAAGCCACCATCTGGTAAGACTTCCCTGATAAACTTGTGGTCAGTCTCTTAAGGGATTTCTAAAAAATGTTTTCAAGTTGCAGTTGGGTAAGTCTGCAGCCCTTGTTCGATGAGCTCCTCCTGAGGAAGCCTGAACAGGACTGAATTCACTAAGTTAGTGGATCCAGTTCTATTGCCCATTGCACGTTTAGGGTGGTTCCTGCAACTCTACTCTCCTAGGGTAGCTCACCAACATCCGAAGTAAAAACACTTTCAGCTGCTGTGCCTCCTTCAAGTGTTGGGGTCTTCTTCATTAATTAGCCAATCCTTTGGTTCAAATAAGACATTCCCTAGCACGCAAAAGTTTGAAATGCCTCTCTGCACCCGCTTCAAGCAAGCTGAAAAGGTCAACAGATTCCTTCTGCCAAGGGACAGTTAGTTAGACTCCCAAGTGGAGGCCGAGCCCAGATGATTAACACCAGACATGTGTTTTTGATAAGTTTCTGTGCTTGGCTCTAATAGAGAAAGCATGTGGGGGCTGTGCTGGCAGGCACACAGGCCATCTTCCCCTTTTAATACAAACAGCAAGCGACCCCTTCGCTTGGTCATGCCCCATTTCCAGGCAAGATGTGGGCTCCAGATAGAAGCAAAAGGGTTGTCTCAGGTTTCAGCTCACATAACCCTCCTTAACAAGTCCTAACTCAAAGCGGACAGCTTTAAACTGTGCCAGGATCTGCAGGGAATTTCTTCCAAATCCCATCACAAAGGCTTGTCAGATTTTGTCAGATTTGGCCAGGTGTTTGACTGCATCCAGGTGTTGGGGAAATGAAAACCACGAACCCTGCGAGACCAGACACATCAGCCGCGCTGTGGGTCTGGCGGGCGCGCCCTCCTCCCCCACCGCCGGCCAGTCCTCCTCCCCGCCCCGGCCCCTCCCGCCAGCCTCCTCTCACCCCCCTTTTCTTAGACCGGCTTCTGAGAGGAGAAGGATGAGGCGGGAGAGATCAATCTTTGAAGCTTTCCTAACAAAGATAAAGCCAACGATTTTCTGTCCTGTTTCAAAAGCTTTACCTCTCCCCCGCCCTGCTCTGGCCTTTCCCACAGGCCAGTGTGGAGAGCGGCTCTATCATAGGAATGATCCGGGAGACAGCCGTTTTCCACTGAGACACCTTCGGACCCAGCTTCCACCCGAGGGAGAGATTTAAAAGAGATCTTTTTGAATTTGTCTCCTACTTGCCTTAGTTTGTGTGTACATGAAAGGTGTCCAACACACCTTCCGCCAAAGAAACACACACACACCCCCTTCTTTATCATTTTTCCACGTTTTCCCTCCCGTTTAAACACAAAGTAACAATTGCTCCATTAAGACACGCACCTCAAGCGCCAGTGTTTCCTTTGGTAAGCCTGTACTCTGGCCTCACTAGGAGCCCTTAAGGGTCCTGGTAGAAACAATCAGACCTCAATGTCTTTATTTTTATGCCAGGAATTCCTTTTACATTGATGTCCTTAAAATTGACAGGAAAAAAAAACCTCAACACTAGTTGAAAATTAAAGGTCCCTATGTTGAAGGGGAAAAAATTTTAAAGTGCACTTTTATTAATATCACGGAAAGTATACTATCTTCCTAGGGAGGGGGACTAAATCGAAGGAGAAGTAAACATTTGGTTTTTTTCTTTTTTAAAATTGGTGGTTTGAAAAGATGACTTTTCCCCCCTGAAAGCTGGGTTTAGGCTATTTGATTATTGTATTTTAAAAATGGAGAGGGTGGAGACCCCACTAGGCTTCAAACGGGAAAGGGCACTTTCCAGTTCTTGCCCCAGCTATGCCACCAAACTCAGTGTGTCACCTTGGATAAGTCATTTCCCTTCTCGGGGTCATTTCCAAGTCTGGAAAATGAATGGACTTATTTCTAAGACGCCGTACCCTCCTGCACGTTGGCTGTTTCTGGAGTAAGTAGCTGAGGGAGAGGCAAAACTTCAAAAATACGACTTCATTGATGTTGTCTCCCTGGGGGTCCCTCAGGCGTGGCCTAATTACACGGCCTCGGGCGCACCAGCAGCCCCTCTCCCTGGCCCCCGCCAGTTCTGATCGCTCCGGGAGATAAGGCACAGCTCCAAACTGCGTCCGGATGCGGGCCGCGGGCCTCCGCTGCCGCGCGCATTAGCCTCTCAATGGAGACCTTCCGGGGCCCTGGCCCCCCGCCGTCTCCAGCAGCATCCGGAGCGGGAAAGGCGCCGAACTGGAAGGGGGTGGGGGTGCTTCTCGGTCAACTCAAGAGCCCTCTCCCAGCGCAGAAGCGCGACTCCGGAGGCTCGCCCCCTCCTCGCGCCCCATCCCACCCCACGCGTTTCTGGAATGGAGATCCAGGCGTTTCGCTGGACCCCCGCGTCGTCACCACCGTCCCGGGAAACCTGTCATTAAAGTCAATTAACTTTTCCCACACCCCTTGGCCGGTAACAACCCGCTCCTAGCTTCCTCCCCGACTCCTAAGTGCAACCAGATGGGCGGACAGGCTGCCCCCGCCGCGCGCCCGCCGGGGCGGCCCGGGGGTTCCAGGGAGGCCGCCGGGGCCCGCGGCCCGGGCGGGCGCGGGCCAGGGCGGCCACGCCGGGCCAGCCTCGGCGGCCCTGCGGCCAAGGTGGTTTGCTTAGCAGGCCCGGCTGCTTTCTGGCAGGAAATGAATAGCTCCCAGATGAGCTCAGGCAACCTGAGAGGTCGTGAGAACGGCGCGAACCCCCGCCTGTGCAGCCGGCAGCCTGCCAGGCCGCGGGGGGAGCAGGCGGCGGCGGCGGCGGGAGGCCGGGAGGCCCGGCGGGCGGGCGGACGGCGGCGGGGAGAGGGGCGGGAGCCGCTGACACACGAGCCCGCGCCCGCTCCCGCTGACAGGCAGGCCGCCGCCCCCGCTTCCCCCGCCCCGGGCCCCAGCGCCTCCCAAGCAGCAGGCCCAAGCCGCAGAAAGGCGGCCGCGCGGCCCCGCCGGGCCTGGGGGTGGGGCCGCCTGCCAGTGTTTTTCCAGTTCCCCCGGTAGCTCCGGGCCGCATTTAGTAGCTGGGGAAACGGGGCCGAGGCCAGGGCCGGGGCACTAGAGGCCCTCGCGGCCCGCAGAGCCCTACCAGGCGGTAGGCCGCGCCGGGGCAGGCGTGGGCAGAGGGGCGGGGTGAGGCCATCTTAGCCCACAGAGCCGTCCCAAAAAAAGACCTTGCCACCAGACAGCAACCCTGGATGCCTTAAAAAAAAAAAAAAAATCTCATTTTTGAAAACCTTGAGCACCTACTGAGTGCTCAGCAGGCCCAAGAAGGTCACGCTAATTCCCACCGGCCTCTGCCCCACCGAGCTCTCTCTGTAGCTGGGGAGATCCACAAACGCCCCAGTGACTCATCCCAGGCTTGATGTGCTAAGTGCCAGAACTGAAGTTTAAACAAAGGGCACCTAGAACAGAGAGATTAATTCTGATGAGAGGAAACCAGGCCAGGGAGGTTTTTTCAGAGTTGGCACTGGAAGCCGAGAGGTGAAAGATGAGTTCAACAGGAAGAGTTAGGTGTCGAAGGGTGAGGGAAAACGCAGAGATGAACACATATACGTCCAGTTTGGGGAAATGTCAGTATGTCCACCATGGTGTGGTACATAAGTTTTCAAATGTACAAATTGGCTTAGAGGTCAAAAAAAAAGGGGTGGGGGGATAAGCTCCACTGCAGTCGTTGGCTTAAATGCAATATAGCCCAAGGGTTAGAAGCACATAATCTGGCTCCTGGCGGCTTGGCTTAGGTTTTGAGCCCAAGGGAAATGATTGAACTTCTCTGGGCCTCAACTTTGTTACTCTGTGTCTCATTTGTAACTTAGGGCTCTTCGGGGTAGTGAGGATGAAACCCGTACATGCACTTAAAGCATTTGGAGTAGCGCTGTCAGCTGCTAGGATTCTGAAACCGCCGCAGTGGGGGATGTTCACCAGACAAGAAAGCCAATCTTGGCTTTGCCCAGTGATTACAGGATCTGCTTGTAACTGCACCAGGCCCTATGTGAAAGGACCACTGCTTCTTCCTTAGTTTCTTAGTTTCTGAATTTCACGCGTTCATTTGATAATTATTGAACCAGGCACTATGGGAATAAAGGGAGAAGAAAGGTATGGTCTCTGTAACTATAAAGCTGTCTGGTAGGCAAGGCAGCTTAAAAACAAGAACAGTGCTCTGTGTTAAGTGCCATGAGGGAAGAGTCATGCACAGTGCTGGTACAAAAGAAGATCATGTGCCTCAACAGGTAACTTTTTGGTCCTCCAAATTTTAATTAATCCTTGTGTTCATTCATAGAAATTGCTGGTATGGTCAATAAATAGTGAAATTTCATCTAAGAAAGGTTATTCTCAAATGGTTAATGTCAAGATTAATCATGTTGCAATACTAATACCTTCTGAATGAGCATAATTACCTAGATGTGATAAAGGAACTGAGATCCAGAGTCAGGAAATCTGAGGCCTGATCCAAATGGACTGCCACCTATGAGATACTGGGCAAGACTCCTGGCATCTCTGGGCTTCGATCTCCTTACAAGCACAGTGAGAACGTTAGACTGGAAAGTCACTTTCAGCTCCACAGTCTGAGTCCCTCCCCTCAGTGTGCTTCTGTGTGCCTTTCCAGTTTGACACGTGCTCTGTGGCTCTAACAACCCATATCAGGCATATTTCAGAACTTTCAGCCAAAGCCCTGGTGCGATTATGACAGCCAAGTATTTTCATCTGCAGTTAAAGATGTGGAGACAGACCTGAAGGATGGGCATTAAAGTTCACAGTCACAATAAAATAGCCCACATAGGCTGGGCGTGGTGGCTCACACCTGTAATCCCAGCACT